TTCAGAGAAGTTGTAAGTTCCTTAAATCCACAACAGATACTGTTTTCCTGTGGATCCCTCCTATTATAACAAGAGCTTTGATTGTGAACTAAGCAGAGGGCAAGGGTACAAGCTCAGAGGCCCTACGGATAGCTCTGACACAAGGAAATTCTGGTATTGGGTTGGGGGCCCTTCTTCCTGGCACACCCTAGGAGTGGTTACAGATAAGGTCCTCTTTCACAAACAGCTTGTCAAACTGGGCATATCAAAGCAGGAACCAGGTGCCCACTTCCCATGGCCCTCAGCAGCCCATGAAGAAGCAGGGACCTTCCAGGAATGGTGATAATGGGTGTGAAGGGAGGAGCCTGGGGAGGAAGGGCAGGGAGTGTGTGAACCTGGAGCAGGCCTATCTGTGGGACAAGTGACAAGGGAGGCAGCAGGACAAGATGTGGAGCATCCTTCTTGGGGAAGTGGGGAAAGGAGGGACACAGTTCATGGCATGCTAACGTCATTTACCATGGAGGCTCCTCTCCTGACCAGGTATGTCCCAAAAGAAACCTGAGGAAAGAGAAACTCCCAAGGAAGAAGATCAAGGGTTCTGGGGACCGCACCTTACATGTCACTGCCAAGAAGTAATAAGTCAACTCTAATGCATCTTTAGGACTGTTGCTAGATACATTGAGGAGAAAGAGGAGGAAGAGCATGATGATAGTGATGATGCGTTCAACAAGGCACTCTTAACACTGTTGACTTTCTGCTAAGCACGTAACACTAATGATTAAAGCTTAAACTGTAATTCTCTGTAATCCCAGCACTTTGGGAGGCCAAGGCGGGTGGATCACGAGGTCAAGAGATTGAGACCATCCTGGTCAACATGGTGAAACCCCGTCTCTACTAAAAATACAAAAAATCAGTTGGGCATGGTGGCGCATGCCTGTAATTCCAGCTACTCAGGAGGCTGAGGCAGGAGAATTTCCTGAACCCAGGAGGCAGAGGTTGCAGTGAGCCGAGATCGTGCCATTGCACTCCAGCCTGGGTAACAAGAGCGAAACTCCATCTCAAAAAAAAAAACAAAAAAAAAACACCTATAATTCTCTATGTACCTTCAAATATACCCTTTCATATAATAGTTTAGAATATTTATGTTATATTATTCCATTTGCAAAAACATGTATATTACAATTTTTATGGTCTGAGAAATATTTTTACATGTGTTAAATATGTTAACTTTTTAAAAATATCTCTACATATTGGGAGGCTGAGGTGGGTGTATCACAAGATCAAGAGAGCAAGACCATCCTGGCCAACATGGTGAAAACTTAATCTCTACTCAAAATACAAAAATTAGCTGGGCATGGTGGTGCACACCTGTAGTTCCAGGTGCTAGGGAGGCAACAGGAGAATAGCTTGAACCTGGGGCGGAGGTTGCAGTGAGCCAAGATCACGCCACTGCACTCCAGCCTGGCGACAGAGCAAGACTCTGTCTCAAGGAAAAAAAAATCCCTACATAGAAGAGAGATACCTTAGTCAGAAAAAAAGCTTATCCACAGAAAGTTGGATTAACTTGCCCAAGGTCACACATTAGCCACAACATGAGGCATAGCCAGAATTCAGACCCAATGTACCTGACACCAGGGTCTATGCTCTTTATTTCTCTGTTCTATTGCCCATTCTGCAGAAGTTCTAAAATTCTGACACAACTGGTAAGAATGAAAAGTTTTTGGTAGATGGGATCACATATTGTTCCACTCCCTCTCATAAGGAGACAGGTATTCAGATAATTTTATTGTCTAGTTTAGACGCTAAAATTGGATCCCTCCTCTCTAAAGAGAACCACTGTCCAACAGTGATCAAACAAAATCCTGAAATTCCAGTCCACTTCCCAGTCTGCGCTTCCTTCCTCCACTTTGCCCCTCCTTTCCCTGCGGACTCCAGCAGCTATTTTACTTTGTGGTCATTTTGTAAAAGCTTCCCATCCGCAGCCTCATCTCCACATGAAAGCTGGAGTTATCCCTCATCCTCTGAGTGTCTATAGTCTCTCAGTTTCCTTAACCACCATCCCACTTCCTCCATTTATTATGCACTTCACAGAGAAACAGAGTCAAACTCAGTTTTGTGAATACCTTGTCTCTGCGTCCTAGTCTCTGGGCCAGTTAACTAATCAACTGAGGTTGCTGACGGGGTTTGACTTATTTTTGTGAGACTTCTAAGGAGGAATTGCTCTGTCAGGGACTGCTACCAACTTTCTATTATAAGCCTATGGACTGGAGGGCAAAATTTGGTTTAGGGAAAGCTCCAACAACTCTGATCCTTGACTTCGGAGTGAATTTTCTTTGGGAGGAGTATTGGATTCCTGAACCCTAAAACACAAAAAGCTAAACATATAGCCATGGTCAGAGCCATCATCTGTCGAACAACATTGGACTTTTAAAACACACATTGATATTAGCTTCAGGACTAGCACAAATATGAACTGCCCTAAAATCTGAGAGTTAAATAATAGAAGTGGAGTTTGGAGCTCAGATTTTATTCCCTCTCATGTGAAAAGATTGTTTCTTCAGAGGAACAATGGCCTACTTCAAAGATGTAGTAAATCCACAAATCTAAACTGAACCCATAATGGACGTCTTGCTATGGAATTAGAAAAAATGTAGAAATAGAAGCCAAATAAACCTTAAAAAAATGCCAATATGTTAATTGAGATGACTATTAACCAGAATCCAGATAAATCAAAAAGGAAAACAAAAGAAAGTTATGTGTTTCTTCCAAAACTTTTGTTGAAATTTGATTGCTCTTGCAATACTACTAAGTCATGTTGCCTTAAAGAATTAATTGTGCTATGAGGCCTCTGCTCTCATGGGGGGGATTAATGCCATTATAAAATGGCCCCCTTTATTTCCCTTTCCTTTTCTTGTCACTCAGTCTTTCACCTTGAGATGACACAGTAAGAAGGCCATTGCAAAGTGCAAGCACCGAGATACTGAACTTAGTCTCTAGAGCTGTGAGAAAATCAATTTCTGTCAGTTACAAATTCCCCCATCTCAGGTATTTTGTTCTAGCAGCACAATAAAGACTAAGATATCAATGGGTACCAGAAGTGGTATTCTTACCATAACAAATACCTAAAAATGTGTGTCCGCTTTGGAACTGGGTAATGAACAGAGGCTGGGTGGGTTTGAAAGAAGAGGCTACAAAAGTCTACATTGCCATTAAAGGAGAGTTAAGGGCTCTTCTGATGAGGGCTCAGAAGAAGGAGAGCTAACAGCCAAGCCTACATCATCTCTGAGTTACTTAAGTAAATGTAAACATAACGTTGTTAGCAACATAGACACTAGGAGTAATTCTGGTATGGTCTTAGATGGAAACAAGGAGCATGGTATTGCATGATGGAGGAAGGGCCATCCTTTATATAAAGTGCTAAAGAACTTGGCTGAATTGTCTTTATGTCCCAGCAATTTGTGAAGGCAGAATTTTAGAATCATGAACTAGGGTATTTGTTAAAAGAAACATCTAAGCAGTAACTTCTTGTTGAGGATGCTGCATGGCTCCCCTGACCTAATAATAGAAAGAAGCAACTTAAAGCTTATGGATGCTGGGCTTAATACCTAGGTGATGAGTTGATCTGTGCAACAAATCACAATGGCACATGTTTACCTATATAACAAACCTGCATATCCTGCACATGTACCCTGGAACTTAAAATAATAGTTGATGAAAAAAAGAAGACATAATTTATAAAAGATAAACAAAATGTAAGTATTTTTTAAAATCTGAGTTGCTTTGTTTTTAAGAAAGAAAAGGCAAGTCAACAAGAGAAAACTGAAAATACAGCCAAGTAACCATTTGATAAAGAGATTAGTACGTATAGAAGAGGCCAACTGCTTCTTCAGCAAGACAATTCATCAAGACAATAAAAGAATGAGCCCAATGGCACCTTGGAGATTACGGGTGCTGCTTCTCCCATCACAGGTCCAGAATGCCAATATCTAGGGGATAGAATTACACTGAAAGGACCCTGGAAGCCTTTGACACATTGATGCTCAATGCCTAGAGCTACTTCAAGTCCCTGATGCGTACATTCCTGAGCAGCAATTCTTATCATTTCATAAGTGGCTTAAAGGATCTCATATGTGGCTCCAGCCACCACTCCAGAAGGTTCAGGATATAAACTTTGGCAGTGTCTACTGGGTGCTAATTTTGTAGGCTTACCTATTACAGATTTCAAAAGATGCCTCAGAGAGGCTGAGGGCTCATACAGAATTGACACAAGAAAAGGGTCACCACAGAGTTTATCCATGAGGGCAATTTCTAGTAGAACTTTGGGGGATGGGTTGTCACCAAAATGCTAACGTAGATCCAGCAGTGTGAGATGCCACCTGTAGAGGGCTGCATACAAGAGACTCTTGCCTGTGATATCTACTTCCTGGGATACACCCAGAAAAATCAAGGGGGCCCAACCCTCATCCCAATGTGTAGAGAAGATTTGACTTGGAGCCAAAGACAATTATTCTCAAACCTCAGGCCTTGCCTGCATTCTTCTTCTTTCCTTTGCCTTGTCTGCCTTCTTCTTCTTCTTTTGCCTTGCCTGCCTTCTTCTTCTTCTTTTGCCTTGCCTGCTTTATTCTTTTTTCTTTTGCCTTGCCTGCCTTCTTCTTCTTTTGCCTTGCCTGCCCTCTTCTTCTTTCTTTTGCCTTGCCTGCTGTCTTTTTCTTTCTTTTTCCTTGCCTGCCTTCTTCTTCTTTAGCCTTGCTGCCCTTTGCTGCCATTTGCCTTGCCGCCTTTCGCCACCTTTTGCCTTGCTGCCTTTTGCCTTGCTGCCTTATGCCTTGCCGCCTTTTGCCTTGCCGCCTTTTGCCTTGCTGCCTTTTGCTTTGCTGCCTTGCCTTGCCCTGCCCTGACCTGCCCTGCCCTGTTCCGCCCCACCCCGCCACACCCCGCCCTGCCCTGCCCTGCTCTGACCTGCCCTGCCTTGCCTTGCCTTGCCTGGGATTGCCTTGCCTTACCTTTTGCCTTGCCTTGCCTTGCCTTGCCTTACCTTGCCTCGCCTTGCCTTGCCCTGCCCTGCCCTGTTTTGTTTTGCCTTGCCTGAATTTTTTTGCCTTTCCTTTCCTTGTCTTTCCTGGAATTGCCTTGCCTGGAATTGCCTTGCCTTGCCTTGCCTTGTGTTAACTTACCTGAAATTACCTTGCCTTGCCTTACCTGCAATTCCCTTGCCTCGAATTTCCTTTGCCTGCCTTGTCTTGCCTTGCCTTGCCTGAAATTGCCTTTTCTGTGATTGCCTTGTCTGGGATTGCATTGCCTTGCCTCGCCTTACTTTGCCTTGCCTTACATTGCCTGGAATAGCCTTGCCTTGTCTTGCCTGGAATTGCCTTGCCTTACCTTTCCTTGCTTGGAGTTACCTTCCCTTGAATTACCTTGCCTTGCCTAACCTTCAATTGCCTTGCCTCAAATTTTCCTTCCCTGCCTTGTCTTGCCTTGCCTTGCCTGAGATTGCCTTTCCTGTAATTGCCTTACCTGGGATTGCATTGCCTCACCTGGGATTGCATTGCCTTGCCTTGCCTTGCCTTGCCTTGCCTGACATTGCCTTCTCTTGCCTTGCCTTGCATTGCCTCGAATTGCCTTGCCTCGAATTGACTTGCCTGGAATTGCCTTGCTTTGCCTTACCTGGAATTGGCTTGCCTGGAATTGCCTTGCATTGCCTTGCTTTTCCTTGCCTGGAATTGCCCTGCCTTGACTTTACTGGAATAGCCTTGCCTGGAATTGTCTTGTCTTGCCTTGCCATGACTGAAATTGCCTCATTTCAAATTGCCTTGCCTTGACTTTCCTCACCTGGAATTGTCTTGCCTTGCATTCCCATGCCTTGACCTGGATTGCCTTCCCTGGAATTGTCTTGCTTTGTCTGAATTTGAGTTGCCTCGATTGGACTTGCCTTGCCTTTTGCCTTTTGTCTTTTGCCTTTTTTGCCTTTTGCCTTTTGCCTTGCCTTGCCTTACCTTTCCCTGCCCTTCCCTGCCCTGCCCTGCCTTGCCCTGCCTTGCCTTGCCATGCCTTGCCTGGAAATTTTAGCCTTTCCTTTCCTTGCATTGCCTGGAATAGCCTTGCCTTGTCTTGCCTGGAATTGCCTTGCCTTGCCTTGCTTGGAGTTACCTTCCATGGAATTACCTTGCCTTGTTTAACCTACAATTGCCTAGCATCTAATTTTCTTTCCATGCCTTGTCTTGCCTTGCCTTGCCTGAAATTTCCTTTCCTGTGATTGCCTTGCCTGGGATTGCATTGCCTTGCCTTGCCTTGCCTTGCCAGGAATATTTTGCCTTTCCTTGACTTGCATTGCCTGGAATTGCCTTGCCTGGAATAGCCTTGCCTTGTCTTGCCTGGAATTTTCTTGCCTGGAATTGCCTTGCCTTGCCTTGCCTGCAATTGCCTTGCATCGAATTTCCTTTCCCTGCTTTGTCTTGCCTTGCCTTGCCTGAAATTGCCTTTCCTGTAATTGCCTTCCTGGGATTGCATTTCCTTGCCTGGGATTGCATTGCTGTCTCTTGTCTTGCCTTGCCTTGCCTGGCATTGCCTTCTCTTCCCTTGCCTTGCCTTGCATTGCATTGCCTAGAATTGCCTTGCCTTGAATTGACTTGCCTGGAATTGCCTTGCCTTGCCTTGCCTTGCCTGGAATTGCCTTGCCTTGCCTTGCCTGGAGTTATCTGCCCTGGAATTACCTTGCCTTGTTTTACCTGCAATTGCCTTGCCTTGAATTTCCTTTCCCTGCCTTGTCTTGCCTTGCCTTGCCTTGCCTTGCCTGAAATTGCCTTTCCTGTAATTGCCTTGCCTGGGATTGCATTGCCCTGCCTGGGATTGTATTGCTGTCTCTTGCCTTGCCTTGCCTTGCCCGGCGTTGCCTGGAATTGCCTTGCCTGGAATAGCCTTGCCTGGAACAGCCTTGCCTTGCCTTGCCTGGGATAGCCTGTCCTAGAATTTGCCTGGGATAGCCTGACACCAACTTTCTTTTGGTGGGGGGGCTCAAGGCTAAGGCGGATGGATCTGAATACGGACTAGCCTGCTTCAAGCTACGGGTTCCCTGCTGGTGTCCATGAAGGACCGCAGGTTTGGGCTGAGTGATGGCTGCAGCCATAACAGCAAGTTTCCGTAGGGAGGGGTGACCACTGACCCTCGGTCTGGCCAGGGCGTTGATGAGGGAGGCAGAAGATGGGTTAGAAAGGGTCCCAGCCAGGCCTGCAGCCCAGGTCAACTTTCTTTTGGTGGGTGGGCTCAAGGCTAAGGCAGCTGGATCTGAATACAGACGAGCCTGCTTCAAGCTACAGGTTCCCTGCTGCTGTCCATGAGGGACCACAGGTTTGGGCTGGGTGGTGGCTTCAGTGGTCACGGCAACTTTTGGTAGTGAGGTGGGACCACTGATTGTCAGTCTGGCCACGGTGGTAATGAGAGTCAGAAGATGGCTTAGAATGGGTCTCAGCCAGGCCTGCAGCCCAGGTCAACTTTCTTTTGGTGGGGGGGCTCAAGGCTAAAGCAGCTGGATCTGAATATGGATGAGCCTGCTTCAAGCCACGGGTTCCCTGCTGCTGTCCATGAAGGACCACAGGTTTGGGCTGGGTGGTGGCTGCAGCAGTCACGGCAACTTTTGGTAGTGAGGTGGGACCACTGATTGTTAGTCTGGCCTGGGTGGTGATGAGAGAGGCAGAAGATGGGTTAGAAAGTGTCCCAGCCAGGCTCCAGGTGGAAGTGGTGGGTAAGGAAGCCCCTGCAGCTGAGGGTGCTATGGTGCCCTGGGCTGGCTGTGTTGGAGCAGAAGATGAGGCCTGGGATGCAGCTGAAGCAGCTGGATGGGAAGATGGTTGAGGCTGCTTCAAGGAGCGGGTTCCCTGCTGCTGTCCATGAAGGACCACAGGTTTTGGCTGGCTGGTGGCTGCAGCGGTCACAGCAACTTTTGGTAGTGATGTGGGACCACCAATCGTTAGTCTGGCCATGGCGGTGATGAGAGAGTCAGAAGATGGGTTAGAAAGTGTCCCAGCCAGGCTCCAGGTGGAAGTGGTGGGTAAGGAAACCCCTGCAGCTGAAGGCACTGTGGAGCCCTGGGCTGGCTGTGTTGGAGCAGAAGATGAGGCCAGGGCTGCAGCTGAAGCAGCTGGATGGGAAGATGGATGAGGCTGCTTCAAGGAGCGGGTTCCCTGCTGCTGTCCGTGAAGGACCACAGGTTTGGGCTGGGTGGTGGCTGCAATGGTCACGGCAACTTTTGGTAGTGAGGTGGGACCACTGATCGTCAGTCTGGCCTGGGTGGTGATGAGAGAGGCAGAAGATGGGTTAGTAAGTGTCCCAGCCAGGCTCCAGGTGGAAGTGGTGGGTAAGGAAACCCCTGCAGCTGAGGTCGCTGTGGTGCCCTGGGCTGGCTGTGTTGGAGCAGAAGATGAGGCCTGGGCTGCAGCTGAAGCAGCTGGATGGGAAGATGGATGAGGCTGCTTCAAGTTGTGGGTTCCCTGATGCTGTCCATGAAGGACCACAGGTTTGGGCTGGGTGATGGCTGTAGCGATAGTGTCAAGTTTCTCTATTACGGTGAAATAATTGACCCTCTGTCTGGCAGGGTGGTGGTGTGAGAGGCAGAAGATGGCTTAGAAAGGGTCCCAGCCAGGCTCCAGGTGGAAGTGGTGGGTAAGGAAACCCCTGCAGCTGAGGGTGCTGTGGTTCCCTGCGCTGGCTGTGTTGGAGCAGAAGATGAGGCCTGGGCTGCACCTGAAGCAGCTGGATGGAAATATGGATGAAACTGCTTCAAGGAGCGGGTTCCCTGTTGCTGTCCATGAAGGACCACAGGTTTGTGCTGGTTAATGGCTGCAGCAATAGCATCAAGTTTCTGTAGTATGGTGAAATCACTGACCCTCTGTCTGGCCAGGGTGGTGGTGGGAGAGGCAGAAGAGGGGTCAGGAAGGCTCCCAGCCAGGTCTGCAGCCCAGGTCAACTTTCTTTTGGTGCGGGGGCTCGAGGTGGAAGTGGTGGGTAAGGAAGCCCCTGCAGCTAAGTGTGTTGTGGTGCCCTGGTCTGGCTGTGTTGGAGCAGACAATGAGGCCTGGGCTGAGCCCTGGGAATGTGCAGAGGTGGCAGGAAGGGTGTCTGAGGAGGATAACAGGGGACCTGCTGACCTGCGTTTCCTCCCAGACACAGGAGGTCTAAAGGGGGACCCTGCAGCAGATGCTTGGAGGGCCACGGGGGTCCAGGCCATCTTGGGACTTGCGTCTCTCCTGCTGTGCCTCTGTGCTGGATGCTTTAGAGTCAGCAGGCAGAGAAGATGTCCCTGTTACCAGTCCCAAAGCATGGGACAGCAGTGAGGCTCTGCACTCCCAGAGGGACTTTTCCTCACCCTGCAGTGCACTATTAAGTCACATGATTTCGGCCTTTATCTCCAGGTCCAGGTCTTCAGCGGTGACCTGGAACCCCAGCTGTAAGGGAGATGGCAGCCTCAGAGGCTCCCCTCGCCTGTGTCGCAGCAGAGGGTACTTTCGTCTATGAGGCCTAGAGGCCTGAGATGTCGGGGAGCCACTCCTGGGGGCCAGTTTCTCCCCAGGTGCTGAATCTGCTGCCTTTTCACACTGGGCCTGACCCTGAGAGACAGCCTGAGGGCTGACCTCAGTCACTGCCTTTGAAGAAGTGAGGGGCAGCTGGCAGTGGGATGAGGCTGGCCCCTTCCCCCTCTTTACCCACGGGAAGCCTCCTGCGGAGCTGTAGGAGCTGGAGATGGAGTTGCGGCAGTAGCTCATCCTGGAGGGCTGGGATTTCTTTTCAGATGGCATTTTTGACCTCTGGGTATGGAGGTCTCTCTGCAGGGGCCCGGGCCTGGGTACGAAGGGAGAGAGGCCTCCACTGTCCCGCAGGGGTCTAAATGCAGACCCTGCATCCCTGGTGCCCTCAGGACCCCCTTTCTGATCATGGGGCTTTTCTTGGACTCTGGGTTTTTTTTCCTGCTTAGGCATCCCTGCCCCACTCCCCATGAGGGCCATCTACGTGATCTCTGGATTGGAGTGTAGGGTAGAGCTGGGTATTCTGGGCCACAAAAAGGCGATTACCTTCTCCAGGGCCTCTCTGAGAGTCCTTAGGGCACTGGCTTGCTGTGATACCTGGGCCTCAAATTGAAGGCAGGGTTGCCGTACAGAAGACAGGGTTTGAAGAATAAATCCTTGGAGTTGTTTCGACACCAGGCTGCTTACAAGTGTCTGGGTAGGAAGGCTTGCCACTCCGTCCAGGGGCAGGAGCAACGGAGAGATCCCGCAAGCCAATGAAGTGAAGGATGCGGGCAGCAGGCTCAAGGAAACTGAGTCCTACTGCTGCGTCCTCGGCCCTGGGAAGGGGCCGGGACAGGGATAAAGGGCACAGAGTGCCCAGGTAACCGCTGCTGGGCGCAGTGGCTATTTTCGGATCGTTGAACTCTTGACAGCTGGACTCGGAGTGTCCTGCGAGCAATGGCGGTGAGGGATGGAGCAGGGTAGAAGGGGCGCCTGATAGGTACTGGAAGGAGAGGCGCACGCACAAAGGAAGCCAGGCGTTAACGGTTTGGCCGGCAAGGTTCGCGCACAAGGCACCTGATGGCAATGGAAGGGGCGCCGCGCGCGCGCGCGCGGTGTACTGTAGGGAGAGACGCGCGCACTAAGGACCTGGGACCTTAACGGATCGGTGCCGCAAGGTATGCGCACAAGGCAGCTACTGACAACCGTGGGATTGGGGGCGGGGTAGGGAGCGGCGCGCGTGCTAGGTACTGGAGGGAGAGGCGAGTACAAAGGGCTCGGATTCTTAATGGATTGGCGTGAAAAGGCGCGCGCACCAGGCCATGATTATTAGTATCTCTAAGCTTTTGCTCATGCTATCGTCTCCCTTCCTGGAAAACCCTCCCCACCTCAAGGGTTACTTCCTTTAAGAAGCATTCCTGGTGGTCTTCCGGCTGCCGGCCTCCTAGGCACCGCTGCCGCCACTGCCGGGGCCCAAGACCTCTGCAGCACTACGGACAGCGCTCACTCGCTCATTCACAGCCGGCGCCTCTGCCGGCATCGTTTCAGAACCATGGACAGCTCCCGGCGCAACCCCAGCCAGGCCCTGGCGGCAGGGCTCACACACCCCAGGCGCTCCATCAGCACCTGGGCACACTTGGGGCCAAGGCCAACAATACAAAAAACATTGGCCGGGTGTGGTGCCCCACACTTGTAGTCTGAGATATCTGGTCGACTGTGCGCCCCTCTCCTCCCGCCTCGGCTCTCCCCCGACCCCCATTGCCAGCAGGTGCCTTTTGCGCATACCTTGCCGCACCAATCCCTTAACGTCCCGGGTCCTTCGTGAGCGCGCGTCTGTCTCCAGTATCTATTTTGCGCGCCCGGCCCTGGACCCCCCTTTTCCCGTCCTTGCCAGCAGGTGCCTTGTGCGCGTGCCTTGCCACGCCAATCTATTAAGATTCCGAGCCCTTTGTGCTCGCCTCTCCCTCCAGTACCCTAGCACGCGCGCCGCTCCCTACCCCGCCCCCAATCCCATGGTTGTCAGTAGCTGCCTTGTGCGCGTACCTTGCCGCACCGATCCGTTAAGGTCCCAGGTCCTTAGTGCGGGCGCCTCTCCCTACAGTACACCTGTGCGCGTGCGCGTGCCGCCCCTTCCATTGCTATCAGGTGCCTTGTGCGGGAACCTTGCCGGCCAAACCGTTAACGTCTGGCGTCCTTTGTGCGCGCGCCTCTCCTTCCAGTACCTATCAGGCGCCCCTTCTACCCCGCTCCCTCCCCCGCCGCCATTGCTCGCAGGTGCCTCGTGTGCATATTTTGCCCCCGACTCCGTATTGTCAGCGGGTGTCTGGCGCATACCTTGTCATGGGGATCCCGTAAGGTTGCCCTTCCTGTGCTGATCTGTCACTCGCGCCCGTCTTTGCACTCGCCCCACTCGCTCAGATTTGAATGACGAGTTTCCTGGCAGCAGGAAGTAATAAGGAAAGGATTTTCTATTTATAATAAATGGTGTTGGGAACACTGACTAGTCATATGCAGAAAACTGAAGCTGGACCCCTTCCTTTCACATTATACAAAAATTTACTGAAGATGGATTAAAGACTTAAACATAAGATTTAAAACCATATAAACCCTAGAAGGAAACCTAGGCAGTACTGTTCAGGACATAGGCATTGGCAAAGACTTCATGACTACAACACCAAAAGCAATTGCAACAAAAGCCAAAACTGACAAATGTGATCTACTTAAACTAAAGAGCTTCTGCACAGCAAAAGAAACTCTCATTAGAGTGAACAGGCAACCCACAGAATGGGAGAACATTTTTGCAATCTACCCATCTGACAAAGGCTAATATCCAGAATTTACAAGAAACTTCAGGAAATCTACTTAAAAAAAAAAAATCCTGGCCAGGCTCATGCCTATAATCCCAGCACTTTGGGAGGCTGCGGCGGGTAGGTCATGAGGTCAAGAGATCGAGACCATCCTGGTCAACATGGTGAAACATCAGGGGAAAAAGAAAGTTCGTGAGACAGCTGAAGATCTGAGATCTGTGGAGGTCTCTATTTTTTGGATGAAATCAGTCTGCCTCCTCGGGTGTATGACCTAATTCTCATATGAGGCTGGGCTAATCCATTTTCTGAGCTTCATGGGGTCTTTGCCTACTATTCTCAAGGAATCCTTAATGAAGATAGGATCCATTTTTGCCCCCATACAGAGTTGTCATTACCTTTGAGGTTCACAGGCTAATCACAAATGCTACATCAATTATTGTTCTGCAAATAACATATTACTTTGAGTGGTTCCAAAGGTCTTGTGTTTATTGGCTGGGAATTTCCAATAGCAATGAGGATTTAAGAAAGAGGTTGCTAGTGAAGAGCTCACCAGCAACATCTGGAATAGCAGACCAAATTCCCTCATCCTGGGGCACAAATCAGGTGTTGCAGCTGAGGGGCCGTGGAAGAAGAGCTGCAGTGGCCATTCCCTTCACCTGGCTGCCTCCTCTACTCTATAGGGCACTGAGCCCAATGGAGATGGATGGGAGTGGAGTAGCAGTGATGTGATGAATTACCTTGCATGGGAGAGAAATCCCTCCACTGTCTCAAACCCTGGCCACTGTACGAGCCTGTCAAGAAGCACGGGTAAGAAACAGAGCAATGGCCTCTTCCCAGTGTTTTCCATCTCATCCCCCATTCCTGGGTCCAGCTTTCACGAAATCTTCCTGAGCTAGAAAATACAATGCTAGTGTGTCTTCTCTCATCTCCTCTCTTCTCTGCTTTCTTTGAATCTTTCTCCTAGATTGGGACACTGATGAAGGTGAGGGAGAGTCTTTAACTTCTAGGCTTAAACCTGGGATGCCTCTTCATTGGTTTCCCCAGATTACTCAGTCCCATTCCATTTATGTCTTCTGTCTCTCCAGTATTTCTGAAGTGGAAAGATTATAACTGCAATGTGAGGTTACCCTATGTCTGCAAGTTCACTACCTAGGGCAGGAGCAAAGTCAGCAGCCTGCGTTTGGTGTGGAACTCATCATGAGCATGAACCCAGTGTGAAGACATCCTGGAAGAGAATATTCACTTAATTCCCCCCAGATATGACCACGTCATTCTTATCTTCCTTCTGTTTCTTCCTTCTCACTTTCATTTCAGTCTCTTCATTTTGTCATATGGCCTAAGGCTTTAGAGAGCAATAATAAAATTTTTAGTCTGCACTTGCTGTCTTGTATGTGCCAATGTCACTTTGTCCTGAGAAGGACAAAGTGTTCAGGGGGGAGAAAACTTTGTGGGTCTTGGTTCTTCCCTATTTTACACAGGCCTCTAGGGAAAATGATGAAATGTGCATCCTTACCAGTGTGTTATGATGAAGGTGTGGGTCTTGCTCATGTAGGATTTTTGTTGTGGGGAGATGAGGACATTTCTTTCCCATGTATCTACTGCCCTCCCATTTCCATAGCCCAAACCTGATAGTGTGACATGACAAGCTTAGGATGCTCTGGTCGTGTTTAGAATAGAACTTCTTAGAGAATGACATCAGCAGGATGGTAGATAGCACTTTCCAGCTCTCAAACCTTCACAGAAACATTCATTTGAACTACTATCCATTAAAATGGAAATACCTTCAGAAGAGCTAATAAATCCAAATGAGTGATTAAAGCATCTGCATGTTGCAGAAAATAAGAAAAGATGCATTGAAGAGGGTAGAAAGAACACTTTTCCATGATTCACATCACCCCTCCCTCAATCTCAGGAAGCACAACATGTAGAGACATTCTCTCAACTTGGGGAAAGAGAGTGAAGTAAACACTTGATTCTTCCATGGACTCCAACACTAGGTTTGCCCCAATTAGACCCAGTGGCCTCTGACTCTAGGCGGGTACCCTTGGACTTGGATTCCAGCATGCCTTGAGGCCAGACCAGGCTCTGTGGCCCCAGCTTCCTGATCAGCCACCATGAATGCAGCCTCCAGACTTGCCCAGAAGACACAGGCTCCAGACAAACACAGATTCATGTTTTTCCCCATAACTCCAGACCATAGGCCAGCATTTACTGACACAGACTCTAAGCCCACCTCAAGGACAAGCTAGCACTTGCAGCCACAGACCCCAAGGTGGCCCCTGAATTCTTAGACATCAAGCCTGCCCACGTGAACCCATCCTTCAGACCTACCACAGCTCCAGGATGACTCCCATAGCCACAACTACAGTCCAGCACTTGCAGACCCCAGCTCCAGACTGGCACTCACAGTCCCAGAATTTAGTCCTGTCAAACCCCAACCCCTCCTCAAGACTCTATGTTCGTCCAGTCACAAAGTCCTCGTACTAGACTGGCCTCTGTGGCCTCCATCACTAGGCCAGTCCCCACAGACCCAAGCTCTGGATCTTCCCAGTTCCAGGCCAGTCTCTGTGGATGCAGTACTAATCTGGCCCCATAATCCAGCAGACCCAGGATCAAGTCTCATTACAGTAGACCTAGCACCAGGCCAGCCCCCACTGACTCAGGCTCTAGCCTTAGCCCCATGGATCCAGTCTCCAGGTCTACCCCATAGGCAAGTTGACATTTATGGTCCCAGGCTTCAGGCCAGCCCCACCCCCCACTAACCCTGGCTGCATGCCAGTCCTTATAGTTCCAGGTACCAGCCCAGTATGCACAGACTCAAACTCCAGACCTGTCCTAGAGACCTAGATACCATGTCTACCCTAGTGTCTGGCTAACCCATGAAGACATAGGTTCAAGACCTTCCCTACAGCCAAATTGGTCTCCATGGGACCAGGCTTTAGTGTGGCTCCTGTGATTACAAGCTTCAGACCTGCTCTCATGAAGTGACTGCCTACCTGGGTATACCAAGTCAATAGGTCAACCAGAGGCAGTGAACCCTGATGCCAAGTTGGTCCTCATTGGCCCAGGCTTTCTGAGGATGCCAGCAGCAAGCCTGCCAAAGACCAAGTGAGATGGCCTGCCAAGAATCTCTGAATAGCTGACGGGTGAAGGGCTTTATCTGCTAAAGCCAGTCTATAAAGACTGAAATAAGTGACTACTTGTTCAACCAAAGACACATGATCACAAGTATCATAAATAATCAGGGCAACATGACGCCACCAACAGAACAAAGAAGAGGACCAGAAACTGACCATAAAGGAATAGGATTTTCCAAACTGCTCAACAAATAATTTAAGGCAATTGTCTAAAAGAAATTCAGTGAGCTACAAGAGAATACAGTTAGAAAACTAAATGAAATCATAACAATACATAAACAAAATTAGAAGGTCAAGAAAGAAATTTTTAAAAATTAAATAATACTGGCTGAGCTGAACAACTGCTTGGAGCATTTCAACTACAGACCTGATCAAGCAGAAGAAAAAGTCAGTATGTTTGAGACAAGTCATTTGAAATTATCCAGTCTTTTTGTTATCCAAGGAAACAAAAAGAAAAAAGAAACTAAAAGAGTAAATAAAGCTGAAGGAAACTGGTACATAATCAACTGAGCCAATATATACATTACAGGCTTTCTAGAAGGAGCAGAGACAGAAAATGGACAGAAAACACATATACAAAATAATGGGTCATGGGGTTTGGCAACTCCATGCCTGTCAGTGCATTACCCCAGCCAACGAGCATGCACCCAGCCCTGCTGCCACTGCTGTAGTATGTGCAAATGAGCACAGATCCCACTGCTACCACACAGACAGAACATTGTGGCCACTGCCACTTACTGGAGTGTTGTGGCCAGCAGTCCAGGAACACCATGCGTGCCCCAGCACAGCAGATTTCTAACCTTGAGGGCAGAAAGAACAAAGCCAGGGGCCTGATATTAGCATTCCAGAACTGGGGAACCCTGACACCTTCCAGAAATGAAGCCAATCAACTACACCTTCCTTATACCACAATCAAACCCCCAAGGCCATGGAAAAAATAAACATACACACACACCCACCTACCCACACACAATCCATTCAAAGAATAGCAACTTCAAAGATTAAAGGAACACCAGCCCACATAGATGAGAAAGAACCAATGCAAGAACTCTGGCAACTTAAAAAGCCCGCATCTATTCTTACCTCCAAATAACTATACTAGTTACCAACAATGGTTCTTAACCATTGTTAATCATGGTTAACCATTTTTAACCATTGTTATCTGAAATGACGGAAATAGATCTCAGAATATGGACAGGAATCAAGATCAGTGAGATTCAGGCAAAGGTCACAACCCATTTCAAGGATTCTATACAATAGAATGATACAGAAAAATGAAAGATGAAAAGGCCATTTTAAGAAAGAAGCAAACTGATATGATAGAGCCTAAAACCTCATTTCAAAAATTTCAGAATACAATCACAAGTATTAACAGCAGAACTGACCAAGCTGAGGAAAAAATCTCAGATCTCAAAGACTGGCTCTCTGAAATAACTTAGTCAGATACATATTAAAAATAAAAAAGGAATAAACAAACACTCTGAGAAATATGGTATTATGTAAAGAGACCAAATTTATAACTAATTGAAAGCAAGAAATGTGGAAGGCATATTTTAGCATATCATCCATGAAAATTTTCCCAACCTCCCTAGAGAAGACAACCTTTAAATTCAGGAAATGTGGAGAACATCTGTGAGACACTACACAAGATAACCATCTCCAAGACACATAGTCATCAGACTCTGCAAGGTTGAAATGAAGGAAAAAAATGTTAAAGGCAGGTAGAGAGAAGAGGCAGATCACTTACAAAGGGAACCTCATCAGGCTAACAGCAGTGTTGTCAGCAGAAATCCTACAAACCAGAAGAGATTGGGGCCCTATACACAGCATTCTTAAAGAAATTCTAAACAAGAATTTCATGTCCAGGCAAACTAAGCTTCATAATTGAAGGAGAAATAAGATCATTTTCAGATCATCTAAAGCTAAGGGAATTTATTACCTCCAGACCTGCCTTACAAGAGATCCTAAAGAGAGTGTTAAATACAGAAAGGAATGACCGGTACTGGCTACTATGAAAACATACTTAAGTGCATAGACCAGTGACACTATAAAGCAAGCATACAACAAGTCTGCATAGTATTCAGCTAACAACATGATGACAAGATCGAATCTGCACATATCAATACTAACCTTGAATGTAAATGGGGTAAATACCCCAATTAAAAGGTACATAGTGACAAGTTGGAAAAAGAAGAATTACCCAATGGTATGCCCCTCTCATATGCAATGATCCATCTGACATGCAATGACACTACTAGACTCAAAGTAAAGGGATGGAGAAAAATCTACCATGTAGCAAACAAACAAAAAACAGAAAAAAAATCGGGGTTGCTATACCATTTTCAGACAAAACAGACTTTAAACCAAAAGAGATTTTTGAAAGACAAAGAAGGGCATTACATAGTAGTAAAGGGCTCCATGAAGTTGAAGCCTAACAAGCCTAAATATATACATACCCAATACAGAAGCACCCAGATTTATAAAGCAGGTTCTTAGAGACTTACAAAAAATTAGATAACCACACAATAAGATTAGGAGACTTCAATGCTCTACTGACAGTATTAGACAGATCATCGAGGCAGAAACCTAACAATGATATTCAGTACCTGAACTCAACACTTGACCAAATAGACCTAGTAGACATCTGCAGAACTCTTCACTCTCAAACAACAGAATATATATTTTTCTCAGGGGCATATAGCACATACTCTAAAATTGACCACACAATTGAGCATAAAACAACCCTCAGCAAATTAAAAAAAACAAAACAAAAACAGAAATCATACCAACCACACTTTGAGCAACCACAGTACAATACATAGAAATCTTTACTAAAAAAATCACCTGAACCCATACAATTACATGGAAATTAAACAGTCTGCTCCTGAATGATTTGGGGTAAATAACAAAATTAAGGTAGACATAAAGAAATTCTTTGAAATGAATGAGAACAAAGATGCAACATATCAGAACCTCCCATACACAGCTAAAATGGTGTTAAGCGGGAAGTTTATTGCACCAAACACCTACATCAAGAAGTCACACAGATCTCAAGCTAACAACCTGACATCAGACCTAGAGAAATTGGAGAAGTAAGAAAAAACCAACTTCAAAGCTAGCAGAATACAAGAAATAACCAAAATCAGATCTGGACTAAAGGGAATTGAGATGTGAAAACCATACAGAAAATCAACAAATCTATTAATGTGGTATTTGAAAGAATAAATATGATTGATACA